GGGGGGGTGGGGGGAGAGATTGGTCAGCAGGTGATTGTCACTGACATGCAGTCCAATCTCGCCCAGATCGAAAAGCGAAAAGTCACAGCCGTTTGTTCTTTTTTGTCGAGAGACTTAAGGGCCTTGCTGCACTTCCTAATGCTCTACATGCATCTGGACGCTTTCTGCACCCCGTTCATTAATCATTTGGTATCTTTATCATTGTCTACGGTGCATGGTTCTCATCCTCTCTGCAGCAAGGCCCTCCCATCTGCTCTACCTCTCTTCTCCTGTCCTCTGCCTCTCTTCTACTGTTCTTATTGATCTTTGAACTCTTTACATTCCCGCTGTCGTCATATCGTGGCAATGTCTTTCATTTTCCTCATTTTCGTACGGCCATGACACACTGGCTTCGCTGCAGTGCACAACACTACATGGAGCGAAGCCAGTGTGTTATGGCCGTGCGAAAATGATGACAATGAGAGACATTGCCACGATATGACGACAGCGGGAATGTAAAGAGTCCAAAGATCAATAAGAACAGTAGAACAGAGGCAGAGAACAGGAGAATAGAGGCAGAGCAGATGGAGAATSAAGRGTTTTGGMRAGAGACTAAGGGCCTTGCTGCAGAGAGGATGAGAACCATGCACCGTAGACAATGATAAAGATACCAAATGATCGATGATGGGCCATCATCAATCCTCGCTCCATTAATCGACACTCATAAACTCATTTGGACGCCTTTCTGGATCAATATTTGGAGTCCAAAAATTGGAATGCATCGGACCGATTGGGGTCCAGATACGACACTCGATATCCCGGATTCAAAGATAAACAAGGAGGCRACARAGAAGAGGAGAWGAGAGGATAGGAGAGAAATAACCCCCATCCGCTCCAGAACAGAGRATAGGAGAGAAATAACCCCCATCACCTCTGTTCTGGCGAGAAAAAAAAGGCAAAGAGACAAGCAGCAAGATAATCCATTGGAGCTGCAACCACGTCAGCATCATCAATTGAAGATTGGGGATGCCGCCCGAGGATCGCCAGGTTCGTTAGCAGGATTGTTTGGTCCCACTGCCGCCGCGGTGCAAGCTGGCTCCATATACATGATACAGAACACGTAAAAACCCACAACCTTAAAACACAATTTTGTAGACAAGCTACCTTCTTCCCCCGAATACAACGTACGGTCATTATAGCTGTATTTGGGGCATCTTTCAGTCTAAATACCGCTATAATGACCGTACGTTGTATTCGAGGGAAGAAGGTAGGCTCTTTGGCCAAGAACCTACTACTCAAGCCGAAAAGACGGGGAACAGGAGAGAGGCGAAAGGAGACCCAAGTCCCAAGCTTGCCCGACTCCATAACCTCACATTCTTCCGATAAGCTTTCCTGCACCGTTTCCAAAATCACACCTGGGGACCAACGGTACCAACAGGACTACCTCATCAGTTGGCACACCCATGAACTGTTGAAATACAGACCCAAGTTCGAATCCAGACGCAAGCAGTTCTGACCAAAATAAATGCGAAACAAAATGGAAAGGGTTTAATAGGAAAACGGACAGACAAGAAAGTGCCGAGACATTGCAAAGAATAACTCTGAAGAGCGTTATTTCGAGATTACCTATTCGAATACACAAGCTCGTGCAACCACGCACCTGGACCATTCAGCTGGGAAAGTGCATGTATATTCTCTCAAAATCGCAACCACCAACCCCATCAAAACAACAAGGCCCTCCCATTAAGGCACAGAAAACAAAGGGATAAAGGAGCGACGAGATAGGGAGAGAAAAGCAAAGGGACAAGCGAGGACAGGGGCAGYGAAATAGAAKATCAGGTAAGCAACGGACAGAGAAGCAAAGGGGCAGCGAAACAGGATCAGGGAAGCAAAGGGCGAGAGCACAGGGAGAGATGAAGAGAGAATTTAACGAATGGAGGGAGATAGTAGCGAAGAGAAACGGTAGCAAAG